TCACTTTCACTTTTACAGACAGTTTTCCAATTCAAACAGATAATAGTCTAAAATATATTTACCTTAACTACAAAATTGAAAAACTATGGTCTTTGTTTTGGTATTCTTTGAAAAGAATTTCAAACCGGTAATAGTTCAGAAATTGATGGTCTTATTTAAAAAATTGAAAAAGCTTAGTCACCATGTGACACTATCAAACCGTTTTTGGGGTGAAAATAATTAAAAGGTAATTCAATATTAATAAAAATTAATTAAAATTAATTAACTACATTTATTAGTCTCTAATTAAAATAATCAAACAAATTTAATTACCTTAATTAAGACAATAGAATATAATTAATTTACTCTAATTAAAATAAATTAATCCCATTAACCATACATTAAACGAATCATCACGTACAATCATTTTATATATATATATATATGTATATATTTTTTGTTTTCGTTTTTAATACAAAGTAATGCTTAGAACTAAACAGGTTAGATGACCCGCTCCGAAAACAAGACCCAAACATTTAAACGGGTTAAAAACTAGTCCACTGAAATTCAAGCCACGTTGTAACAAAACATATCACAAAAAGTGACTAAGATCAGCTCTTTGAACAGAGTCGAGCTTGCTCAAAAAAATTTGCCCCAAAATGCTCAAAACAACGTTGTTTTGGCCATTTTGACCATTTTTCAAATAAATCTAACCACAAAGTTGGACCACCTGACATGTGCGTGTCAGGTGTTGCCAAGTGCTTGCTTGCCACCTCAACCCAACGGTTGGATTTTGAATAAAACGATTGTTTTTTCTTTTTTTTTTAAATAAATTACATACACTTATTTTAAAGTAAATTTTAATTTGTTTATTATGCAATTAAAATATAATTTCTCTTGACAAAAATTTGAATTACGAACAAAAGTTAGTAATAACTTTAAGGAAAATGATTAATATAACTTTGTTTAACACATTTTTTGATATTAGTCTAATTTAGTCATTAAAAACATAATTTAAGTATTGTCAGCTTTTACATCATATATGCATAATTATATTTTTAAATTTATTTATTTTAATTTTAGATTATAAAATAATAATTTTTAAATAAATATATTTTACAATATATTAAATCATAATATATCAATTAGTATCCTTTCATCTTGATGATGTTCCAATGGAGTATCCCTTAGAAGTTAGGACGTTCGTTCTCTCTCGTACCTTGATATCCTTTCTAAGTCTAATGTATTCAATGGCTTGATTAATGAAATAAAAGATAAAATGAATCCACCTAAGGATGTCAAGGAGCCTTTATCTTAGCCAGTGGCATAGCTAGAAATTTTTTTAAGGAGGGCAAATAAAATTTTGAAAAAAAAAAAAAACCATGTATCTTTGTATTAATTAAAAAGTCGATAAAAAGAAAAATTTTAACAAAAAAATTATTTTAAACTAAAATTTGTTAGTCATCAACAATAAACTAATATTAATTGATAGTATAATATTATATATATATTTGATATCAACAGAAAGGTAAATTAAACATATATATTTAGAAAGAAAAACACTAACAAACAAAAAAAAAAAGTAGAAGGGTATTAACTAAAAAAAAAGAAGATATTAATAAATGACTACTTTATAAAAGGATGATATTGGACAACTTTGTATTTAATTAATTTATGAAAAGGTGCATATTAATTCCGATTTTCAAAATAAATTGAAATCATAATATTAAATTACGTCATTTTATTTAATTAAAACTCAATTTAAAATTTAAAAATGTATTTTATTAAATGTTGATATTTATATTTGAAAACTAATGTTATTTTCTAAACTTTAAATTGGGATTTTTGTTTTCAAATATAAGTTGAGACTCTAATTTTTTTTAGAGTTGAGACTAATAAGTACAAACCAAATTAATTTTTATTTTTTATTATACTATATCTTATCTTTATTTTTCTCATTTTTCTCATAATCAGTAAAACTAATCTTTGAAAAAAAAAAGTTAAAAAATAATTAAAATATATGAAATATATAAACAAGAATTAAAATAATAAAAATATAACTTAAAGGACGAGAGTCTTTATTTCTTAAAAGTTTAGATTGTGCCCCCTCAGGCCCCCCTGTGTCTCCGCTAGTGACCCTTGCTATCTTTGATAGTCTCCCATTACATGGCAACGAAACAATTATTGTGTTATAAATTAGATTGGGAGATGGATTGAAATTTGTCAAAGAAAGTAGTGGTATAGAAGCTAATATATTCTCGTATTCCATTAAGATTAATTTATTTAGTCATACAATAATGCTCATACTGGAAAAGCCCAAACCCTGATTAAATTCTAGATTTTATTAAAATATATGGGAACACTCAACAAGGTATGAAGCAAATACAAATAGTGCTACCATAACATAGAGAACCCACTCGCTGTCCAAAGACCTTAGAACAGCCCTTGTGGCAGGTATCCTTTGTGCAATTGGTGATGCCATACCCCTTGAAGCAAAGCTTTCCTTCCTTCATTACTTCAGTTGTTCCTAAAACCATATTCCATTGAGAGTTCAGACGTTGAAAAAAAAAAAGCATTAATTTTTGAGAAAAGAAAAGATTAACAAGAGATAGTTTACCAGCAGCAAAGGAAAGAATGAGCATAACGATGGCGAAGAACTTGAGACACTTCATGCTTGATTTCCTTTCTTCTTCTTCTTTTTTTTTGGTTGGGGGTGCCTGAATGGGAGTGAAAAGATTGGATGAATTCGATGGTTTTTTTTGGTCATATTTATAGGCAGCATCAAGTCAGCACGAGAAAGGAATGTTGTACATAATATGGCGGAATTTTAAAATCAACGTTGAAAACAGGTGTGAAAAAGGCGAAGAATCAGGTGCTTTGTGAAAAGAGTATTAATTAATCAAAACCAATTGCCGTTATAACAGCTAAGCAATGGCAGGAAATTGAAATGCGATATGAATTTGCAACTGAAAATTACGTCATTTGGTTGAAGACACTCTGTGATGCACTTATGAAATTAATATTTTCAAAGTTAAATTTAAAGCAGGAAAAATTTTTATTACAGAGTTTAAAAACTAAACTATTTAGTGTTGATAAGTGTGTTAAGTCAAAGTGAATACTAATAATTTTTTAGAAAAATTATGCAAACTGATACTCTTTTATAAGGTATTCAAGGTGTAGATTGAATCAGATTTTAATATTTTAAAATCAAATCAATTTAATCAATTAATAAAATTTTCAAACTAATTCAATCTACGATTATACTATAACCAAACAAATCCAACTTATTATATCATATCGATGTGGTTTGGTGAGATTGATTGGGTTTAAACACTATTTTAAATATATTTGATTAAGTAAAAATAAGAGCATCAAACTATATAAAGTACAATAACATCATAGATAACAAAAAGATAATACTAACTAATATATTAAAGTAAGAATTAAAAATACAACAAAAAAGAGAGTAAAAACTAATAAGGAAACCAATTCATGTAAGTCAAAAATAATAATAACTGCCATTAAGTCCTTGTATTAACTCCCAAGTTAATTTAATTTAAAATCATAAATTCTTTAATTAGCAATTAACACTTGCCAATAATTAAAGAAAAATGATTGAAAGATAACATTTTTGTATCATATCTTGATATAAACTTATATATTATTTAAATGATTAGCTTTTTTATTCATTTAAAATTTATAATATCAAGTGCATTCACTAATTTAATGACATATAAAACTTATATAAAAAGTTACACAAAAAAATTATCTCCACAACACCTTCCAAAATAAAATCTTGAAAAGTATTTGAGTTATTACACTAACAATTTCTTTTAAAATAAAACTAGCTTTTATGCACGGTTTTTTTTTTTATTTTTTGTATGAGAGTTTAAATTTTTTATTAAATTTTATAATATAATGATTTTTAATTAAAAAATTATAATTAAGTAATTAAAGTTGAGTTGAAAATTGTAATCAGTAATTAGTAAGAGTGTTTTTTGAAAAATTGTATATAATCGTATTAAAAAAACAAATATTAACAGAATTCAAAAAACACTCAATATTAATATTTATCTCATAATTTAAATATATCTATTTTTTCTATTATTATTCTATTTAAAGATTTAGACGACCATATTCTCTCTTCTCTCAATTAAAAACTACAATACACTTAAATAGGATCAAATACTTGTGTATTACATGTGTATTGCATGTGCCTTACACGAGATTATTTTAATATTCCTTTCTCAATATCATATTAAGAAATTGATATACCTTCTTAAATATAACTTAAACTAAGTAATTCAAACATATATATTCTTCAATCAAATTTATTAAAAAAATGTTTTGAACAAATCATGTAGATTTTGTTGTTAGAAATTGAAAAAACTTTAAGATTTTGTTATCAAGAATTGAAAAAACCTTAAACTCATTTACAGTATTCGTTTTTTTTTTCTTTAGCCTTCAATACTTAATATTCTTAAATATTCAATTTTTCTTAAATATTCTTATTATTCTATGAATTAATATTTTTCATTTCTTAAGCCATTCTACCTTAATTTAATATACATGTAACAAAAAATAATAATAAATATATTGGTTTAATATATATCAAATATTTGGATAAAAATGTATGTTACTCCCATTTAATAGGAAATTGCTTTGCAAGAATAGCTTTAGATATTGTTTTAGTACATATTTATACATTAATTTTCATTATCGTTGATGTTATCGTTGTTATTATTGTTGTTGTTGTTGTTATTATTATTATTATTATTAAATAGCAATTTCAAAATATGTATTAAGAAAAATAGAAATAAAGCATACATATAATCCAAAATAAATAAATAAAAAAGAATCAAATTTTATTTGACTAATTTTGACATTTATAAAGATCGATGAACTAATATAGATATTTTTAAAATTTTTTCATATTTCTAATTTATTCATCAAAATGCTTATTTTGCATTTTCATCATCACATTCTTTTGTACAACTATGTTCAAAACAAATAGATATATATAAAAATTCTATTATTTTTTTAAAAAATATTTTTGATATATAAAACAAAAAAATTCTATATGAAATAAAATCAAACAATTCATAAAAAAATCTTCTTCTTTGTCTAGCTTTTTTAGATCTCACTTCCTCATGCACATTTTTTTCCAACCAAGAAAAAAAAGTGCTTGAGATGAAAAAAAATAAAAATGATAAAAATAAATAATGAATAAAAGTGTTATAATAGTGTTATAAATGATGATGAATGAAATTGTAATCATATGGTTTTATTCTCCATAAAAATTAAGCATCTAGTCATCTTCCTTTGGTTTAATTCATTCATTATATATGTAATGAAAGCTAATAATAGTAAAATAATTGAGAATGTTAAGAAGAGAAGTGGAAGTAATAGAGAAGAAGATGAGAAAATAAAAAGTAAAACTAATATGATTAATATGTATATTTATTACATTTGAATGTAAAATTACTATATTTTCTTTTTAACTTTTCACAAAATATATTTTTTTATAATTAAAATAAAAATGACAAATTTTGATGCCTAATTAATACTTAAGTGTAGCATTTTATATAATATATAGATATACATATAGATATACATATAAATATAGACAGTTAATCTAAGAAATTTTTACCTTTTGATTTTTCTTTTTTTATATATAAATTTTATTAGTTGTTAATCTAATAATCAAATAATTTTCACCTTATGGTTTTATTATTTTTTTCATCTTCCTTAATTATTTTTAATATTTATTTAATCAAATTCATAATCCTTAAAATTGAGGCTAAAAAATATCAACTATTATTTTAATAAAAAAAATCAAACTATATATATTCTTAATATGCAAGATTCTTAATATGCAAGATCTCTATGGAATATTATAAAAAAAGGAAAATATTTAACAATTTTCTTTTTTTTTTTATCAATCTTTACCAATTCTTTCTTTTATAATTGCTTCACTTTCAAAATTTTGTTTTATGATTATTTTTCTTGTCCCTTTTCTCATTTCCAATTTCCTATCATTTTTGTCCATTCCTATTTTATTCTTTTAACTTGCATTACAAACCATTTTAATATATTAATATGAGTGCTCAAATTAGAGTTACAAAAAGAAAATTATTTGAATTAGATTTTAATACAATTAAATGTATATTTCCAAATACATATAATAGTAATATTGGATATATATACAATTTAGAAAGAATGTGAAGTAAAATTTATATTTAAAAGGATCAAAAAGTTAATAATAGTATAATATAAATAAAATAAAAAACATAATATCTTTAAAAAAAATACAATATTTTCAAATAAATTGATTTTTATCAAATTCATACCTTTGTTATTTAATTCAGTGTATGAATCAATACTATTGTTGTTCTAATGAAATCCAATCCCATGAATAAAGTTTCGTCCTTGCCACATATCAAGAAAAAGAACAAAAACCCAAACCATTAATAATTTAAAAAGAAAAGAATGCATAAATTTCAAATAAATAAAGTTACAAAATTCTTTCAAAAGAATAATTATCATATCTTCTATAAAAAATTCATAAAAAAATAATAAAACTAATAAAGAAAATAGTTTATACAACAATATACATATTTTGGACTAAGATGAAAAAATACATATAAAATGAAAATATAATATTATATTTAGATACAATATGAAAAAGAAAATAGTTAATATTTCTCTTTTAAAGTAAAAATAAAAATATTTAAAGTTTAATGAATGTATTATAAAGTAAAATGAAACTTCTCAATTGTACATGAAGAAGAAGAAACAAAAAAGCTAGAAAAAATTATAACGCACAAATAGTTATTATGTTATGCATTACAAGCTATATTTTTACTCTTCATAAATTTTAGGCATCTATTCATCTTCCTTTATTTTAATGCATTACATTATCTTATATATGTAATGAAAATTAATAATGATAAAATAATTGAGAATATAAAGATAAGAAGTAAAAGACAAAGAATATGAGAAGATAAACAAGTTGAACTCATATTATTAAATAAAATTATTTACATAATTTATTCTTTTATAATTAAAATTAAATGAAAATTTTTAGGGCCTAATTAATGTTTGAAGAGAGTATTCATCTAAATTATCTTTGTTGAGAAATTAATTAGTTTTGATTTGTTATTTATATTGTATAATTATGTAATAAATAATAAATAAAAATATATCATATATTATTATATATTATATATGTACATAAAAAGGCATACCCTATTTAATGCATGGGGTAGCATCTTATATATATACATAGATTTGCATTAGTTTACTAAAAATAAAATGAATAATATCATCCATAGCAAGCTAAAAATATAAAAAAATGTTATATTGACGAACGTTTATATTTTATGAAAGGACCATGATTGGTGCACACCCGGATCCAACACCCAGGTGTGAACTCCCCACATAAAAAAAAAA